GACCACTGGCAGGTGTGGGGCATTTGCTCCCTCCAGTTGCCCTGGCAACCCACAGGTGGGCTCCTATTACCTGCTAGGGATCCCTATGCACTGCCAGAGCTTTTCCTCTGGCAGTTTCTGCCCCTCTAAGAGCAGGGCACCTTGGTGCTCTGCGACACAGCTGCTTTGTGCAGTGCATTGTGGGAGTGATGCACACGAAAATATAGTCTCCTGTGTGGATCTGTGCTCCTTGCTTGTTGTCTGCAACATGTGTTTCTGTAGTTGCCATCCCCATTATGGCTTCTAAGCATCTCGATAGCTTTTGAACCATGATAGATTTTGAACCATGCAGAAGCACCAGTCTCTGCTTGTGTGTACTGTCTGTTGTTGGTGAGTACCAAAATTGTCTTCTAAAGTGGTAGAAATGAGTCTGGGGGTCAGTACAGTCAAGGTCTTGGAACGTATCCCTATTTGTTACATTGTAAAGTGGGTTCCCTTTATGCAAATTTGAGTTATGCGCCATTTTCCAGGAATGCATGTACAGCATAAAGTGAGGGAAACCTGTACATATATTGCCCTTCTAATCAGGATTTATTAAGTGGCTGAATGCCTTGCTGCTTTTCTGCCATTGATTCAATGATGCAATTCTGGGATTACCACTCAGACACACTTAGGAATGGCCTAGGATAAACTGTTAGTATTTCTTATCCCATGAACCGTTTTAGGATTTATTTCTAGGCTAATGGACATGGGCATCTGAACAATCATACTCTTTTCCTGAGATAAAATGGTTCATTCCTGGACAAATGTAATATCTGTTTGTAGTCTGACAGTTCCTTTTCTACCAGGAAAAATGGTGGATTTTCCATCTCTTGGTATCTGCAAATGCATGCTTTCTGGAAGATATGCATTAGTGAAACACAATGTTTTAGCCAGATACAAGTTATTGGGTTCAATACAGAGGTAAGTAAACTTAATGGCCTGTTATATACTGAAGGTCAGACTAAATAATATAGCCATTAAGGGTGTGCAAAATGGGCCATATTCGATTTAGAGTCGGCCTGAACTGGGGACAGTGATTTCATAGATTATAGAGTCAGAAGGGATGCAATGGATCATGGTGTCCAACCCCCTGCCCCTGGCAGGAAAGAGGACCGAGGTCAGACAACCCCAGCCAGGTGATTGTCAAGCCTCCTCTTGAAGACCTCCAAATTAGGTGACAGCACCACCTCTCTTGGAAGCCCATTCCAGACTGGCCACCCTTATTGTAAAAAAATTCTTCCTAATGTCTAACCTAAATCTACTCTCCACTAGTTTGCACCCATTATTCCTAGTTGCTCCCTGGGGCACTCTGGTAAACAGCACATCCCCAATTCCCTGCTGTCCTCCCCTGATAAATTTATAGGCGGCTACAAGGTCACCCCTCAGTTGTCTTTTGTATAGGCTGAAGAGATCCAGATCTCTCAACCTTTCCTCATAGGGTCCTTCACAGAGACCACTAATCATGCGAGTGGCCCTCCTCTGAACCCTCTACAGATACTCCGTGTCCCTCTTGAAGTGCGGTGCCCAAAACTGGACACAGTACTCCAACTGCAGCCTGACTAATGCCACATAGAGGGGGAGCATCGCCTCCCTCAATCTGTTGGTCATGCATCTGTTAATACACAACAAGGTGTGATTGGCTTTGTTGATGGCCTCGTTACTTTGCCAGCTCATGTTCATCTTGGAATCAACATGACTCCAAGATCTCTCTCAGCCTTTGAGCTGCTGAGGAGGACATCCCCAAACCTGTAGGTGTGCTGGGGGTTCCTCCTTCCTAGATGGACCACCTTACATTTATCTTTGTTGAATTGCATCCTATTACGTTCTGCCCATTGATCTAACCTGTCCAGGTCAGCCTGTATCTGCTCCCTGCCCTCTGGTGTATTAACTTTGCCCCATAATTTGGTATCATCCATGAACTTGGAGAGGGTGCTCACCACACCCTCGTCCAAATTGCTGATGAAGATATTAAATAACACCGGCCCATGGACTGAACCCTGAGGGACCCCACTGCCTTACTTATCACATCAGCAAAAAGCCTTGGGATCTTGTCATCATCACTAAGTCTAGACCATCTGGTTCCAACTGGCAAAAAACCCAGCCCTGATCCTCCTGTCATCTGCTGGAAAGCTTCTGTTATTGTATCTATTGTGATATAGATCTACAGTAGGACTCTTGTACCTGGTACTGTACAGTCCACAAAGGGGTAGTCCCCACCCCAATTAGCTTGTCATCTCCACCTTTTTCTCTCAGATAGGGATCAGGCTATGTTCAATGAGTCATTTATCTCCTTCAGTCTGGGTTATTATAACTCACTGTGTCTAGAATTGCTTATGGAAACACTGCAGAGGCTCAAGAGTATGAAGAATGCAACTGTCCACCTTCTCAACAGGATCTCACAAAGGTGAACACAGGCTCTCAGATTGCCTTTCCTATCACTTTAAGTCTTTTCTGCCTTGATCTTAAAACAAATAATTACCCAGGGCTTAGCTGGATTGGCAACCACTTCTCCACTTAAGATATAGCTTCATGGCACAATGCACTGCTATATAGAGAAATTGGAACTCCCTCTCAATGAGCTAGATCAGGTACCAGAAGTAGGAAAAATACATTGCCCTGGAGTCTGTTAAGGGTTAATACATTCCATTTTGCCGCAGGGCTACTTAGTCTGCTTGGAGCAATTTATGAACATGGCTACATTGCTTCTGGTACCCAAACTAGATCAGGTGTCTCTACATTTATCATGGAAGCATAACGTTGGAGGGCTGTGACAAAGCAACTTGCACACCCAGGCTAAAATGCATGAGTGGGGGAAGGAGTGGTAGCTGCAGAATAAATAAAAATGAGCTTCAAGAGTTGATCATGCTTCAAGAGTTGTGTCTGGCTGCTTTCTGGCCAATACTTATTCTTTCTTGTCAAAGAGTAATGGACAGGAGATTGCATATACTCTTGTTAAAACACCAGTCTTTGTTCATGTGCACACACTAGCCATTTGGTTAACATTCAGGTAAGAAAATCCCATTTGTATGAATGCTCATGAATGGCAAGGGGAGAAGCATGGTTGAATCAGCTGAAAGCTGTGAATTTGAACAAAGATTTGCAAACACTCTTCTTCAACATTTGGTCATCAGACACTGAGCATTTAGGGTGATATTAAAAAAAATATTCCCAACTTGTCTATGCATGGAAGAGAAAGTGCATGTTTAACTTTTAGAGGAATTAGAGAGTTGTCCGTGTCAACACATTTTCAACATGTTAAGGTAATTATGCTCTGACTCAATAGTAGTAAAAATTTGTTTTCAGCTGCTACTAATTTTCTTCTTGGCTACATGTCTGACTGAAGAAGGAAGGAGAAAGAAGCTGTTTACATAGTGCAAATAAGAACACAATTCAAAAGAGTGGGTATGCTAATGAGAAAGGAAGACTTCAGTACTACACAACTACAAGGGAGAAAAAATGTCTACCGTCTTGAAAACCCGATGACGGGTTGTATGTGCAGTAGGGAGGCAGTCAGGGACACAACAGGGCATGCATGATGCATAGAAGTATTTGTAGTCATACTTAACATCACTGAAAATAATTCCATGGAGAAACACAGAAGCCCATGATTAAGATGAAAGCTGAAAATCTAGACTGGGAATTTTAAGTGAGTGTACGCAAGATAGGTAGTCACCCATTCCCCATTGATCTTCCAAAGGAATGGAATGCCTTATTCCCTACTGCACATTTGAAAACCATTCAATTACTTTACTTGAGTGCCAGTCCTTAAAATATTTCATTCTCCTCCTTAGTGAAGCGTTATAAGATAAAAATTGTTTGCATGTAATTTTCCTAAGTTTAAGATAAGGTTCTTTCCTACCTTGGATGTGGATGCTGTTTGGTTGAAAAGATGGATTTGTTGCTGTCTGGTATGTCTTGAGATGCGTCCCTGCAGTCTGCTGGAGATGGGGAGGCTGTGGTGTCCGCCTCTGCATCATGGGTGGAGGAACTGAAATTCTCCTGGGGCTGATGTGGTGGGGAGAAGGAGCAGGAGCTACAAATCTGAGAAATGGAGAAACAGATTGACATACACAATCCTAAATAAAAGCAAAAGATTCCTTTTAATTCATTAAATCAAAGTGCTGTTGCAACTTACACAGGCAGAGACTTCTAAGAGAACAGTGCTCGCTTAGAAAAGCCAAGTACCGGTGATTTAAATTATAAAATATTACTACACCTGATAAATAACAAGTGAAATTCCAAACTGCAGTTTTAATCAGACAAATTCCTATTACATCCAAGAAGATGCTCAAAGACAACAGTCATGAGAGTCATGCAAGAACCCAGACGGGGTACCAGCCATCACAGAGTGGATTGTCACATGGTTGGGCAATAAGATCCCAGCTAACAAACATCTTTCCTTCCTTCTTAGAAGGGAATTAGTCATTAGCAGTGCTCAGTAGCGTAACAGCCAGGCACTCAGGACACAGGGGCAGTGGTGACTGCTGCTTGCCATGCAATTGCAAATAGCAGCTGCTGGGTTTTTTGCCACCTCTCCCTAAGCTGGTGCCTTGGGTGGTTGCTTCATTTGCTTTAACCTAGTTATACCACTGATTGTGCTTCTGCAGGATATATGGCTTGGCTAATGGACAATGGGGTATTCATTACCCATAAGATGACCTGCTGGTTAGCTGCACTGGGGACTCAGGTTTCAAGTCTCTTTAATAATTATTTTTTTCTGTTGCATTTTTAGTGATTATCACACAAGTACAATACTCCAACATCTTTTCAAGATTCTTCCATCATATTAAGCTATTTGGAAATAAACCACCTTAAACATATAAAAAGTCAGTTTTTATGGAAACCCTGCATTATCGAATAATTTCAAGTTGAGATGACCTTGAGATAATCAGAACTTGGATATGGGTCCAGTTAGTTAACTCCCCAGTTTTCTGAATGAGGACTTTGATTTGGCCTCTCATAGGAGCTCATTACTTCACAGGACATGGCCCCAAAGAACTTTATTACCACTGCTGCTACAAGGAGTTATGTTATTTAGCAAGGTGGTCTTATGGCCTTCAGGTAAGAATTTCAGCCACATTAGTATTTCTACTCCTATAATACCGAATACATATATAACTCCTTTGACTTTCACATCTCAAACTACTTTACAAAACAGGTATTATGTCTATTTTTGGTAATGGGAAACTGAGGCATAGAAACACTACAATACTTAGTCTCCATGGTCCACATGCTCAAGTTCTATCTTATACCGTGTCACCTGTCTGGCAATAAACTGTGTTTCCTTGGTAACAGTGGAAGGAGGCTGTAGCTTTGTACACAATACGTACAGAGATATAGCTATAGTAATTTTGTGACAGAATACCCTTGTATAGAGTCATTGCTTGAGCAAGCATAATTAAATTGCCCTGAGTTTTTATGGTTTAACATGGAAGAGATTTCTACCAACCATCTCCTACATAACTGATTTTATTTGGAACTCATTTACTAATCTTTTTGAAGATCTGTATCTTATAACAGATTTCAGGGTGAACTTTCTAGGTTTTACTGCACGTTCTATTTGTTTTCTTTGAGTAGCATGTTTTTCTTTATTTCTTATGTATGTTAGCTACAGTTTGGTTTGTCTTTGAATAGCTTTGATATTTACTTAAAAAGGCAAATGTATTCGTTAAGATATGTACATAATGAAGAAACTAAAGAAATACATCCCCAAATTGGGAAAGTGATTACATCCTTACTCAGTAACTGAGTGCAACACGTGACATTATTTTACTGTTGTGGATAGCCTTGCACTGTATACTCAGACAAAAAAAATACAGGAATGAAGCATGTATGACAACAATTGAGGGTAACAAAAGAAAAAACGCATAATAGTTATTTTTTCCTGATAAAAATATAAAGGGTTTTTTAAAAAGTGCTACAACTGCAGGGTTACAGGTCTGACAGAGAAAGAGAAAAGGCTGGCGATAGCTTTCTGTATAGCACTCACATGGAAAGATTATTGATTTGCTGCCAGGGATCAAGAACAATACACAGACTGGTCTTTCTTATTATTATTATTTAAAAAATTGTGGGATATCATCCTCTGTGTTTTCAAAAATTCATTTGTGAAAACTAATCAATGAAAAATGGCTTTAACAGCTAACCAACAGAAGAAAAAAACTCTTTTCAAAACTTAAAATGAAAAGCCAGTTTTAAAGATTTCACATTTGATTTAACATCTAAAAAAACCTTCCAATGATAATACACCACTTTGTATAGCCAGACAGGACTCCTTTTTAGTAGACTTTAGTGGTCTTTATAATGATTTATGAATCACTTCATGAATTCCTGGCTTACTCATATGGGTGACTATAGTATCTACTTATACTTCCCTTCTGTCTCACAGAAGAGAAACTTGGACTCGTTTCAATCCAGATTTGTCCTCGAATAAATCACAGTGCGTTACTGAGGGAACTGCAAATTTAATTTTGTTTCTGAAACAATTGGGACCAGCTTGTAACCACTAGGCAACTGCCATCAAGAATTGTGGCCATGCCTGGCAGCCCATGCAAACAAGAACAAGCCAGATTTGTAGAAAGGTGCCATTCTCTAATGGCTGCTGAGATCTTCTGTAGCAGAACAAGAATGCTTTAGGCGCCAGGAGACAGCATGTCATTACTCAGCGATACCTAAGAAAGGTGGTCCCATACATAAATGACTAAATTTGAAATGGTTTCAAGTTTTATTTAATTGTAGGCAACAGCAAGATGGCAATACTATCAAAGATGACTGATCAGATTATTTGATAAAATATGTAGCAAACCTTTAATTAGTCAATACTGACCATCACTAAATATTATGGAGATTTTATTATGATAAGGGCTGGCTTGACTTGGACATAATTTAAGTTAAAAGTATAGTATGAGCAAACAAAACAATAATTAAAAATACCAATCAGTGGTGATGGTAGTAGTAGTAGCTTTTTCTGCTATGTGGTAGGCAAGGCCTTGTGGGGGGTATCGTGGAAGTACATGACTGGCCTGGTAATTTTAGACATTGTGCTTATGCTAACATCTCTCAGTGGGCTTGTCTCACCTCCACTGCCTGATCTCTCCAGGAGTTGTCATCTCCATCCCTTCCACCAAACTCCTTTCTATAGTATTACCAACGCATGATTTTTTGGCAAGTCAGGGCATTTCAGCCGGACCTGAAGCTGGCTTGGAGATCATATGAGCCACTCTGGCCCTCTCCAATTGGCTATCCCGCCCCAGGAGGTGGATAAGTGGGGCAGGCAGCCAATTTGGGCTACAGCTGTAGGCAGAGCTCTCTGTTCCCTTCCCTTTAGGAGTCAATATTTTCACAAAAGGAGAGAAGAGAGGAACAACTATTAAGAAAACCAGCAGCTCAGGGTGGCAGCACATCCATTTCTTTGCTACCTTCCTTACAGAAGAAGGCTAGTTCTTCTACTCTGCTATTTCCCCTTCTCTACCCCTGCAATACCCAGCCTGGGAAAGGAAAGGGGATACAAATAATATGACATGTGGAGGGCAAGCAGAGGGCGGGACAGAACCATTATAGGGGTTTGGAAGGACATGACTGAGTGCTGAAAGGATGTGGAAATCAGAGATCTTGTAAGAGATCAAAATCACCTTACTCAAGAAACCTGGAAGAAGGGACAACAGACATGCTGGGGAATGGGCAAGCATGGGGAGTTTGGAAATCAAAAACAGACCCAAAAACCACAATGCAATTCTTTTTTAATAAAATCACAGAGTGCTGGAACCAATCCCATGATTTTTGGAGTCTGATTCATGATTTTTTAAGTTTGGGGGGTGACAAGATTGCTTCCATGAATCCCTCCTCTTTTATGATTCACTTCCCAGTTGTGAACTGGTTTCTGCCCAATTAACTGCTGAAGTAGTGGCCATACATTGACTGGCATCTGGATGTGCATTTAAATATCAGCACAGAGAGGCCCTTGTTTCACCCAAAAAAGAGAATTGGGATAATGTCATCTGTGCACTTCTACACCATTTATGATGCAAGACAATCAACCATGTCCACTGAAAAGTGCATTGGAATTGCATGGATTCAGTCAAATGGATGCCAGACCAGTCTCCAAGTGCTAGGCTAGAATGGGGTTGAAGTAGTCTTCAAGGATGTTTTGATTTATAAGGCATGGTAGATTTGCACCCTATAGACTAACTAAATCAGGGGTGTACAGTGTACACTTTCACGAGCCTGACCTCACTTCATCACAACATCTGATGAAGTGAGCTGGGGCTCAAGAAAACTTATGCTATAAACCTCTGATTTAATTAGGCCACTGACAGACATTTTTTAATGGGCTATCATCCCAACCATTGCACCTCCTGTCATGCCACATGTGCATGGTGAGATGCACAATTTTAGGATTGGGGATCAGATCCCAATTCCAACCAACATGCCAGTGCAAGGGGAGCCTGGGTCTATGATCCCAGGCTCCCCCTGCATCAGTAAGTTGAAAACCAGGTATCTGACAATTAGCTGACTGTCAACTGGCTCTAGGAACTACACCAAGGCCTGGTACAGGCCTGCATCCAGCCAATGATCAGCTGATTGTCAGCTGGTGAGGACTGCAACAGGGATGGTTGGAGACTCTGGTATGGTCCTCACCCTGCCATACATTCAATTTAGGGTACAATGGAAACCAGCCACAAAAATATTGCACATTTTTTGTGTAATACTTCTGTGGCTGGTTTCTCTCTTTGTGGTGCAATTAATTGACTGAACCTGTGGCTGGGTTACTATTTAAGATGAGATTAACATCCTAAGCACATCTTAAGTGTAACATCTGCCTGAGGCCTGATGTCAGGATTGACTTAATGGTTCGTGGTCACTCAATGAGTTATCATAGGCAGGCTGGGGTCATACCAGGTGACTGTTGCAGTCCAGATCATCAGGCCAAGGGCTGAGGTGATATCGTGGTCAGGATGGATGATAGATCAGAGCTGGGAGGTCTAAACAAGGCAGGGGCAGGGACTGTGGCAAGGCTGGGATCAGGCAGGAACAAGGCAGAG